TCTAAAGGGACTTGAAATTTACTCATAAAGCTGGCCAATAGGATTTTGTTTTCAACTTTTGACTGTCAATTTATTAATCTACTGATTTGAGAGTTATAAAATCTTATGCTCTTAATGCTTGAGATTTATGAAATCATTTTTTTCTTAGTTGGCATGATAAGGAGCTAGTTGGCTTTTCATGTCAAAGTCAAATGTTTAGTTGTAATCAAGCAAAAATTTCAAAAAAATCTTCATGGGAAAATGTTATTTCCTAATATATTTAAAAGAAACTCACAAATATTCATCTTCAAGTCAACTAATTGTTTTATGTGACAATTGTAATTGGTTTATCTCTCAAAATAATAATAATAATAATAATAATAATTTAAAAAAATAGTGGATAAACTATTCAAAATTTTGGGGTAAATACAAAATATATGTGTATATATATACATATTCAGAATTTGATCTTTATAACAAAATAAATTTTTAATTTTTAATTTTGTCAATTCAAATCATAATATTTTGATTTGAATTTATAAATCATTTGTCTATAATTGTAAACTAAAGTCGATAGAAAATGAGTATTTCAGCCATTAAATTTAACGTTGGTGTACATAAGATGTTTAAAATACTATTTTTTTATTGTGTTTAATGACTAAAATATCATTTTTATCGATGGGTTATATTGAAAATAAATAAAAAAAATTAGAATTTAAATTGATAAAATTAAAAACTCATTTTTTTGTTACAAGTGTCAAACTCTCAAACACTTTGTTTATTCGAGTTTGTATGGCTATGCCTATATATAGGCTATAATCCCAATGTTTTTACTATTTTTTATTTTATTTTATTTATTTATATTATTAGACTGTTTAGGATGTTTTTCATATTTTTATATATTTCTTAATTTTTCAAAATACTTTTTTATAAATTTTTTACTTTTTAGATACATCTAAGTAAGGTGCATCTAAAAAAAATACTTAAAATTATAAAAATATTCACTAAAAATAAAAATAACACAAAAATAAAAAATAAAAAATTTAATTTAAAAAACTCAAACTAAACACACTAAATAATGTTGTGTGTGTGTGTGTGTGTTATGTTCGTAATGTAAAATTGGTCAGAAAAGTTGGAGAAAATGCTTTAAAAAATCCAAGTAATTATAAGGTTTTGTATTAGGCGGATATATTACTTGTAACAGTTGTGATTTGATTAATTGAAAATAACATGAAAACCTTGTGCACCAATTTATCCATTATTGATTTTCCTATTTAGGCTTCGTTTGACAAATAATTTTTTTAGTTAAAAAATTAAAAGGTCACTAAAAAAATTAAAAAGTCAATAATTCATACTAAAAAATCAAAGATTTTCTTTTCTCTTTATTTTTTGCATATCTTTTCATAAAAAACTAAAAAATTATCTCAAATATACTAATTTTTTTAGTTCATATTTTAACCACATAATTAAAAATTTACTAAATTAATCTGTTTCTAAACGAGGTTTTAAAGCTTCTATTACTAACGCGGTCTTCTATACATAATTATGACAATTTTTTTATTATAATTTAAAAAATATAAAATTATATCATTTATTTTTTATTTATAGAATAAATATGATACACATTCTTTATAACAATAATGATAGAGACTACTAATTTTAAAACTCTAAAAAGACCACTAATGACATGACATTCAATAAAAAAAAAAAAAAATACAATACCAAGACCAAAACATCAAATCATTCTTCATAAAACCCACTACCACATCATTAATGATAGCACTAATTGATACTCTCACTCATTTTCCTTCTTTATAATGTTTCGCTTTTTGAGAACTCTACTCATAGCTATACCATTGTAATGATTACTCATATCTTTTGTTTTTACATCCAAAGTAATTCAATAATAATGATCACAACGCTGCACAAGGATCAATAGGTAGAGATCAGGATATCAAGAGATTGTTTGGTTTATTTTTGAAAGAATTGTTTTTGAAAAAAATTTTAGGGGGAGAGTTTAAAATTTTTTTTGAGTTATTTGGTTATATATTTTGAAAGTAGTTTTGGAATTTGGAAGTTTGGGATGATTTGATATTTTGTTGTAATTAAGTAGATTTGTGTGAGAAAAAAAGTGATTGAGAAGAAGAGAGGAGAGAGAAAAAGTGATCGATTGATGTGTAAGAGAGAAAAAGTGATTTTGGAAATTTTTTGAGAAAAATCTCAAACCAAATAATTTTTTAGAAATTTTTTTCTAAAACTCATCTCTAAAACTCAAACCAAACATACCCCAAATGTTTCCTTTGACATTTTCATCAAGTTGTAGAAATTTAATTTCAATTTTTCTTTTCTTTTATTTTCTTTAAAATAGAAGATGTGTGTGTCAATTTCCGACCACACTGTCAACTCAGTATTCAACTGAAGAGCACTGACAGAATAGATGGCGCCTGAGTGACCTGTAACAAAAAGAAGAGATTCCGGCAGTAGTTCGTCTACCCAGGGACACTCCGATGATCAAGTCACTTATCTCCCAAAGATAGATAAAGTACTTAACTCACTGTTCATAATATAAATTGCGTACCTTAGACCCATTGAGGTGCCTCTCTTTTATAGTCAATTCAATCATAATCCCAATAGAAGCCTAACTTCAATGGACTTATACTCAGTGCTTATCTTAGACTCTCCAATAGATAAAGATAAACTCTCTAAGAGCTTTATCATTATCCAAGCTGAGGTCCTTCCTCATTCTAGGACTCTTGTCTCTTATCTGCTTATCCCGGACTCCGATATCTTCGGAGATAACCTCGGCCTAGCCGAGATCACCTCGGCGTCACGACCAGGACACGTGGCACCCCGGCTAACACGTCGGCGTCACCTTGGCCACGTGTTGGTACTCAAAAAATATATCCCCACAACTGCCCCCTAGGTTCTATTACCTCGGCATCCTGAGGTGATGGAACTTATATCGTCATATCGTATATAATGTCGGCTATCTTGCCGTATCATCCATTTACCGATGTCATAATTCGTCGGCTTCACACAACCAGGCCATGTAGTCTGTCTCATCAAGGTTTTTAGAACCAATAACCTAGTTTATTTATTTAGCCGAGATCTTTCTACCAGCCGAGGTCATTGCTTTATTAAATTAAGAACTCTAAGAGTTTTTATCACGCGTATGAGCTGTCATGCAAAATAAATCAACCGTTTTTGCCACGCGTCTTCCCTTCACTGGATCGTACTTGATACGCGCCTGTAAGTCGAATTTTTCTCGCGTGCGCCGCCTGACGCATACGTTGTTTTAGGCACATTAATTGCCTCTTTGCCGCTATTTTTGTGTTTTAGACAAAACGTCATTCCTCTCTCCGTCTTTTCAATTTACACCATCGTTTCTGATGCTTTTTCTCTTTCTAACTTTTTCTCCAAAAATGCCATTGTTCAAGCTTTCCTAGCTCTGCAACTTTGCTCCGTTCACCTCTTCCGGTGTGATTTTCACCACTCTGTCGTTTTTGTAATCGTTGTCTGACTTCGGCGATCCCCATACCGACCTCACTTTTTCTGGTAAGCCACTGTTCCTCCTGGTTTCAGTTCTTGATTTACCTCAAACTCTGTCATTTTTGCGAACTTGCTCATGTCTTCGATCATTTTAATCAGTACCTTAATTTTCACCATGTGTTAGAGTGTGTTTGCTTCGTGATTCTGTTTTTGCCCAATCCTTTCTTGAATATTCACACACTGCTCACAAATTTGTTCACTTTTGCCACTGTTCTTGGCCTTGTACCCTTGCACACACTCTGTCACAATGTTCTTGATGATTCACCACTATTCTTGATTCTGAATCATTGCTATTGTTTGTGTTTTCTGTATTTTTCTCTAGATTTTTGCCTTCAATCTCTGTTTGCTTAGACTTAGGTTTGAGATTTGCCTTAGAATACACGAATCTTAGGGAAAACTGAAACGAATCCCCCTCTGATCTTCACAAATTCTTACCCCAGCATGAACTTTAGGTTTTACCGAGGTCTTCTGAGCCTTTGCAAAACACTTTATTTTCAATTTATACACCTTCCCCCTAAGCCGACGTCATGGGTATGTAAAAGCATAGGGTAGACACCCCGACCAAATTAGAATACTTTAGGCGGGAGTTTTCTACCCTTGCCGACGTCCACCTCAGGTTGGCAGGGGAGGAGGATTCCATTATGCCCAATGTGAGCCTCATGCCTTTCTTAGTAGTGGCCTTTATCGAGTGTGGACTTAGGTTTTCACTTGACACCTTTTTTCGAGAAATCCTTCATTACTATAAATTGAACCCAATGTAGCTTGCCATCAATGCTTACTAAGTTATCAATGGTATAATAGCCTTAACCAAACAAGAGAATGCTAGGGTTACTCTTGCCGATATCCAGTACTGCTACACTATGTGTCGCCTGAAATCGGAAAAAGGCCACATCTATTACCACAAGCTTAGGTCCACTGAGTACAAGCTCATTGCCGACCTCCCAGACTCAAACAAGGGTGCTGGAGACGATTGCTTCATCGTCTCGGGCAACTGGGAGTTTCAGCCAAACGATGACCTCCACCTTTATCCCCTAAGCCGAACAGTTTTTGGGGAAGGAGATGGTAAGGGCCAAGTGTCACTTTTTCTTGCTCTCTTTTTAAAATTTTTAATACTTTGTTGTAACGTCTGTGCTCTTCTTTTTGCAGTTCTTCCTCAGCCACCAAAGGGCTTTCGTAAGTCTTTCTTCCCCAGCAAGGACTTGAAGAAGCTATTGGATTTGCCAGTCCACAAGCGGAGAGCCCCTCTGCTGCTCAATTTTATTCCTACTTACAAGTCGGTTCTTCCCGACATTCCAAAGAAGAAGAAGAAGAGTCAATTTCCTCCGTCTGCCACTACTCCTCCCATCACTTCAATATCTCGGCCAGATCAAGGATCGACCTTTGATCCAGCAGAGCAGCCGTCAACCTCGGCTCCATATCTAATCCCACCATCTCAACGCCAACGTCGCCATAGAACTACAATTTTTGCCGAGATGGGTCGCAAGAAAGCTGTCGTTGACGATCTTCTAGCCGACATCCCTGACTCAGTTGATGCTCAAGCAGCACAAACCCAGCCTCAACTAAAGCCAAAGCCAAAACGTCTGAAGAAGGCTTATCCCAAGGCAACGGTGACTCAGATTGATACTGAGGACACCTTGCCAATTTCTAAATTGGCCGAGAGCGATAAGACCCCTTCTGCTACCGAGAAGAGGCCCGCCGATGCCCAACCATCCAAATCCACTAGATCAAAGAGGCTGAGGTCGTCCTCTGCGACAACCTCGGGGCCGTTAAAACATGATTCCCCCTGGGCCCCGCCAATTACAATCGACGACAAGTCGGTTAAGGCTGGTGATAGCGCCAACAACATTGAAGTCAGCATTGCCCTTTCCACCGCCTTGCTGTTGCCCAAAGATCTTAATCGTAATGCTCAGATAAGCGAATACGAAAATTTTGCTTTGATGCTGCAGCATTCCATTCAAGTAAGTTCTATATACTTGATATTTTTCTTTCTTTCTCTTTTTTACACTTAGAAAATTTTCTAATAACTTCTGCTTTGTCCATTTTTCTTCAGGCGATCCAGCACGCCCACTCCTTCTCAATGTAATCTTTTGAGACAAGGAAGGAGTTGGTCGACAAGACTAGGGAGGTTACTAGTTTGCAGAAGGCCATAAAAATGACTGAGGCAAAAATGAAGATTTTGGCAGACCAGGCCGAGGCTGCTGTCAAAGCTAAGGATGATGCCGAAGAAAAAGCGGATGCCGCTGAGGCCATTAACAAAGTTCTTGAGGCCCAGAAGAAAGAGGCCGAAAAAAAGACGGCCGAGGCCCAAAAAGAACTCCAAGACGCCCTAGCCACAAAGGAGGCCGAGATCAAGGCAACCGATGAGAGGGCATATGCAGAGGGGGCGGCCAACGTCAAGGAGGATTATAAAAAACAAGTGAAGCAAGCATGCAACAAGGGTTTCACCCTTGGTTTTCTAATGACTTCTGTTTTGTCCATTTTTCTTCAGGCGATCCAGCACGCCCACTCCTTCTCAATGCAATCTTTTGAGACAAGGAAAGAGTTGGCTGACAAGACTAGGGAGGTTGCTAGTCTGCAGAAGGCCATAAAAAGGGTTGAGGCAAAAATGAAGACTTTGGCAGACCAAGCCGAGGCTCTTGTCAAAGCTAAGGATGATGCCGAAGAAAAAGTGGATGCCACTGAGGCCATTAATAAAGTTCTTGAGGCCCAGAAGAAAGAGGCCGAAGAAAAGATGGCCGAGGCCCAGAAAGAACTCCAAGACGCCATAGCCACAAAGGAGGCCGAGATGAAGGCAGCTGATGAGAGGGCATATGCAGAGGGGGCGGCCGACGTCAAGGAGGATTATAAAAAACAAGTGAAGCAGGCATGCAACAAGGGTTTCACCCTTGGTTAGTTTCACCCTTGGTTGGATGGCCGCTCTAAAAAAGCTTGACGTCCCCGAGGACTCCCCCCTCAAGAAAGTCGACGTCCTACCCCTGCCATTCCCCCCTACTCCAAGCCAATCCGAAGACAATTCTGAGTCTGAGGAGGAAGCTTTGGTGAGAAAGTCGAAGGATGCTGCTGGGGCCAAGTCCCCTACTCCAAATGAGCAAGTCCTAGACTTGACTCAGGATGAGGAGGGCGAGGAGGTCTCTAAGGATGCTACTCCTGAGAAGGCAACATCGAACGTCTCTATCGCCAACAAGAGCCTCGACCAAACCCTTCAAGAAATAGATGCCGAGCTCGCGGCTGAGAAGGCCGCCGAGATGTCTTCTCAGCAGTCTTTCGAACTCCAGACCCAACCAGCCGGAGGCCCTGAAGAGCCTTAGCTTGATGTTTTTCTCCTTTGTACTTTTTTTCTTTCTTTGAAATAATGTAAGCTCTTTATGTGGCCGACATTCCATCTTTTGAATGTAAATACAACTTCTTCCTTTGAATGTTTGTATGTTTGTCTTCCCTTTACTGCTCTTATATGACTCTTATACTTAGAATATTTTGCATATCTTGAATGTACACCTTAACTGTGTAATCTTCTCTGGGTGAAATACCTCGGTTGTACCCACCAACGGTTTACATTGGCAAGTACATAAGTACTTATTTTAATACAACCTTGGCTGTAACTTGTAAATTTTTTCACAAATTTCAACAAGTGTTCAGTTCAACTTCAGCTTGTAAATTTTTCACAAATTTCAACAAGTGTTTATTTATCTTGTAAATTTTTTTCAAATTTCAACAAGTGTTAAACATGATCTCAGTTTAATTTCAACTTGTAAATTTTTCTCAAATTTCAACAAGTGTTAAACATGATCTCGGTTTAATTTCAACTTGTAAATTTTTTACAAATTTCAACAAGTGTTAAACATGATCTCGGTTTAACTTTAACTTATAAATTTTTCACAAATTTTAACAAGTGTTAAACATGATCTCGGTTTAACTTCAACTTGTAAATTTTCCACAAATTTCAACAAGTGTTAAACATGATCTCGGTTTAACTTCAACTTGTAAGATCTCGGTTTAACTTCAACTTGCAAATTTTTTACAAATTTCAACAAGTGTTAAACATGATCTCGGTTTAACTTCAACTTGTAAATTTTTCACAAATTTTAACAAGTGTTAAACATGATCTCGGTTTAACTTCAACTTGTAAATTTTTCTCAAATTTCAACAAGTGTTAAACATGATCTCGGTTTAACTTCAACTTGTAAAATTTTCTCAAATTTCAACAAGTGTTAAACATGATCTCGGTTTAACTTCAATTTGTAAATTTTTTTCAAATTTCAACAAGTGTTAAACTGATTTTAGCTTGTATATTTTACCTTGCCAGGAACCATTTTCCAACTTTCTCCCCCCTAATGTGAACTTAAGTTCCACTTGTGTTCTCATTATGCATGTATTCTAGAAACATCATCAACTATCTTATCAGTCACAAGTGTGAAAAATCAAGCTAAATCTTTATTTATTACTTCGGCTAATAACAAAGAACAAGAAAGTCTAATAGTAAAAAAATTTCAGATTGCAAGTATTCCAAGGCCTTGGCAACTCTTTGCCTTCATTATCTTCAAGCCGATATGCCCCATTGCCCAATACCGAGATGATTCTATAGGGTCCCTCCCAATTCGGGCCAAGCTTGCCCTCTCTGGGATCCTTCTTGTTGCCGACAACTTTTCTCAAGACGAGGTCACAGACTTGAAACTCCCTTGGGTTGACCTTTTTATTATAAGCCTTGGCAAGCTGCTGCTGGTATGCCGCCAGCTAAATTGCAGCTCTCTCCCTTCTTTCTTCTAGCAGATCCAGATCTTGGGCTAATAATACATCATTAGCCTCATTCTCTACTCCCTGGGTTCTGATCCCTAGGATTCCGACTTCTAGAAGAATGACTACTTCCGTGCCATAAGCCATGGCAAATGGGGATTCCCCAATTGATCTTCTCGGTATAGTCCGATATGCCCAGAGTACACTTGGCAGTTCATCCACCCACTTTCCCTTTGCTGCTTGCAACCTCTTCTTAATCCCATCCAAGATGACTTTGTTGGATGCTTCTGCTTGTCCATTGCTTTGAGGAAAACTTGGGGTGGAAAAATAATTTCTGATTTTGAACTTTGCACAGAAGCTCTTGATTAGCTTACTGTCAAACTGTGTTCCATTGTCTGCATCTAGTGCTCTTGGGATCCCAAACCTGGTGATGATATTTTTCCATATGAAGTTCTTCACATCCACGTCTCGGATCTTGGCAAGGGGTTCAGTTTCTATCCACTTGGTGAAGTAATTTGTTGCTACCAGCAGGTACTTCCTTTGCCCAGTTGCTTGGGACAGTTTTCCAACAAGATTCATGCCCCATTAGGCGAACGACCAAGGACTGGATACTGGGTTCAAGTCTGCTGTTGGTTGGTGTATTAGTGGTGCAAACCTTTGGCACTTTTCACACTTCTTGACATAGGTTTCTACATCTTTCTACATGTAGGGCCACCAATACCCTTGGGTAATGGCCCTATAAGCAAGTGATCTGCCCCCAGCGTGGCTTCCACATATTCCTTCATGTATTTCGTACAAAAAATCTTCAACTTGTAAAGGATGTACACACCTCAAAAGGGGTCTAGTGAAGGATCTTCTATAAAGATGTCCCTCTGCTGTTAGACTGAATCTTGCCGGCTTCAATCTGATCTTGTGTTCCTCTTTGTGATCATCTGGCAATTTTTCTTCTTTCAGGAATGCTACTATTGCATCCATCCAGCTTGGTTCCATTTCCACACACATTGCTTCATGCTCTGTGGTCAGTGGTTCAATGCTCGGGCCTAATAAGTAGTCAACCATTATCGTCCTTGCCTTTCCAAGTTGAATTGCACTAGCCAATTGGCCAGGGCATCAGCGTGACTGTTATCATCTCGGCTAACCTATTATAGTTGGCAATTCTGAAACAAGGCCACCAACCTGCTGACCTCTTTTGTGTAGGTCGACATCCTTTCATCTCGGGCTGCAAACTCGCCCGTTGTCTGGTTGACTATAAGCTGGGAGTCACAGAAGACTATCACCTCATCTGCTTCTATTGTTACTACCAGTTTCAGTCCTGCAATCAGTGCTTCATACTCTGCTTCATTGTTTGAGGCCTTGAACCCCAAACGAATGGGTTGTTCTAGTATCTGTCCATCTGGAGATACTACTCATGCCCCCGCTCCTTATCGGTTTGAACTCTTATCAACAAATAGTCGAAAGGAGTCACCGATGTAAATGCTGTAAGGCCTGAGTTTTTCTTCATTTCTTTGTTCTGTTGCCCTCGGCTGGGCTCCTCTTTGCTCGCTTGGACATTGTTCACCTCGGCTCAACGGAGCCCGATGTACGATAGATCCTGGCGTGAACTCGGCTATGAAGTCGGCCAAAACTTGGCTTTTGATTACTGTTCTAGGCCTGTATTCCAGGTCATACTGGCCCAAGGCCACTGCTTATCTAGCTATTCTGCCTATCAGATCTCCCTGCTGTAACAGGGACTTCAAAGGATGTTCAGTTAGCACCACAATTTTGTGAGCTTGAAAGTAATGGTCCAGCTTCTTTGAAGCCATTACTAAGACCAGCGTTAACTTCTCCAAAGGTAAATACCTGGTTTCTGCATCAGCCAGGGTTTTGCTTACATAGTAAATAGCCCTTTGTTCCGCTTTTTCTTTTTGGATTACCACTGCGCTTACCGCATGTTCTGAAACTGCTAAGTACAAGAACATCTCCTCTCTAGGTTCTGGATTTGAGAGAACTGGAGTCGTGGTCAAATACTTCTTCAAGTCGGCCATGGCGACTTCACATTCTTCTGTCCATAAGAAGTCTGTGGCCTTCTTCACTAAGTTGAAGAAACGTTTGCATTTGTCAGAACTTCTGCTATGACCCTATTTAGGGCTGCAGCCCTTCCAGTCAACATCTGTACTTGCTTCGCCGATGTTGGGCTTTTTCAGTTCTATGATGGTCTTGATCTGATCTGGGCTAGCCTCAATTCCCCTTCTGGTCACTAAGTATCCCAAGAACTTACCAAACCCAACTCCGAATGTGCATTTTGATGCATTGAGTCGGAGCCGATATGTTTTTAGGATGTCAAAGACTGCCTTTAAGTCTTCCAGATGGTCTTTAGGTTCCCTAGTCTTCACGACCATGTCATCGATGTATACCTCCACTGTTCGGATGATTAGGTATCTGAACATCTTAGTTACCAATCTCTGGTAAGTTGCTCCTACATTTTTTAACCCCAAAGGCATCACTCTGTAACATCTTGGCTAATAAACGCAGTTTCCTCCTCGTCTGGGGGGGTACATGGCTATCTGATGGTACCCCATGTAGGCATCTAGGAAGCTCATCCTTCCATGCCCTGAAGTGGCATCCACCAGTTGGTCAATCTTGGGTAAAAGAAAACTGTCTTTGGGACAGGCCTTGTTTAGGTTGGTAAAGTCCACGCAGACCCTCAGTTTACCGTTCTTTTTCTTTACCACCACTGTATTCGATAGCCATGTCGGATAATTTACCTCTCGAATGGCTCTGGCCTCTAGAAGTCTGTCTACTTCCTCTTCTACTGCCTCAACATGCATCAACGTCAGTCTTCTTGCCCGTTGGATTACAGGTTTGGCCGACCTGTCTACGTTGTGCTTATGGCAAGTGACCTCGGGGTCAATGCCTGGCATTTCGTAAGACGTCCAGGCAGACACCTCAATGTTTGCTCTCAAGAAAGCCTCCAGTTCCTTTTCCTCTTCTTCGGCTAAGCCTGAGCCGAGAAGGAAGAAGCGTTCTTCATCCCCCTACTGGACGAGGATTTTCTTTAAGGCTTCTTCACTCTTCTCGGCTAGCTCCTTGCCGACGTCCTCTAGGACTTCCACATCCTCGTCTTCGATCTCTTTCCTTTCTGGTTCCTGTATGCTGTAGGTGGATTTCATCGTTGCCATGGAGCAATTCTTTGCCTGCAGCTGATCCCCTCTGACCTCCTCTATCCCATGCTCTGTTGGGAATCACAATAGTTAATGCAATGTTGAGGGAACAGCCCCCATTGCATGCAACCATGGCCTTCCCAAGATAACATTATAAGGGGAGGGTGTGTTAATTATGGTGAACTCTATATTTATCTTCCTGGTGCCAGCCTGAACTTCCAAGCTTGTTGCTCCTAGTGGCCACGTTGGCGTTCCATTGAACCCGACCATTAGGCCATTGGATTGCTCCATATCGTCTAAGTGAAGGCCAAGCTCCTTGTAACATCTAACATACATAATGTCACAAGAGCTGCCTTGGTCAATTAGGATGCGCTTCACTTGGCACTCCCCAACCTGGAGGGATACTACCAAGGCATCGTTGTGTGGATGTTGTACCATCTCCAGGTCGGCTTCAGTAAAGGACACTATTGGTCCCTGGCACTCCTCGGCCTGAGGTCTTTTCTATCGAACCTGGTACACATGTTGCAAGTGTTTTACCTTCTAGGTCTCCCCCCGTATTTCATTTTTTTTGACCTTCGAGTGAATTACATTGATTACGCGATGTCTGTCTGCCTACGGTTGTTGTGCTGAAGGGGGTGGAGCTGCTGGTGCCTAAGGCAATCTTGCCTGCTCTTCCCTTATCCTGGCCTCATCTGCAAGGTCCCTCAAATGGCCTTGCCTTACCAGGTCTTCTAGGTGTGACTTCAGGGCTCTGCAACCCTAAGTCAGATGCCCATCTTCATTATGGTAAGCACAATGCTTACCAAGGCTTCTTCCCATAAACTCTCCTGGTACCCTTGCTGGTGCTCTGAAATAGGGTTAGGTTCGGATTTTATCTAGGACTTTGTGAATTGGGATTCGGAATACAGTTGTGACTGTCTATGCGGTTCTCAGTCCTATCTCTTGTTTGTTGGATCCATTGTTACCTTGGCCTCACTTCGGCGAGCCATTTCCTTTCTCTTGCTTTGTCGCCTTAATCCCTGGCGTGTCTTCCTCGGCTTTGGCATATTTCTCGATTCTGACCATGAGCTCCTCCATGCTTTTTGGCAATGTCTTTGCCAATGACTTTCGTAGTGCACAATCATCTTTTAGGCCATTCTTGAAACACACGATCGCCACCTCTTGGTTACACTCAGGTATTCGGTTGAACACCTCATAATACCTTTTTGCGTAAGCCCTAAGGCCCTCATCCTCACTGATCCTTAGAGCCATCGGGGCGTCTACCCTTAATGGTTGTAGTTTGTTTGTCATGAACCTGGCCACGAACATCTCGGCCAGGCCTTCCCAGATCTTCACACTTTCTTTTGACAATTTGTGAAACCAGTCTGATGCAATTTCCCCGAAGGATGAAGGGAACACCTTGCAAAGCAATGGCTCGTTCCCAGTGTACAATGCCATGGAGTTCAGGTATAAACCAACGTAAAAGTTAGGGTCCGATTTACCATCATATATCTGGAACCTCGGCGTACTGAATCTTTTCGGGGCCTCAAATTTGTCTAACTCCACCGAGAATGGTGTTCTCGGCTTAACAGGGAAAGTTACCTCGACATTTTGTTACTTCCTCTTTCTCAAGTCCTATTTGGTCCGCCAGGAGCTCGGCTATCTCATGATTTCAGTCTTTTAGGTGCACTACTCTCAGTTTCATTGTGAGCCCTTTTCGACCTTTCTCCATTGGTCGCATCGAAGCACAACTCCTGCCTTTGAACATGCCGACGTTCTCTGGGATCTACTTCTTTGGTGTAGTGTGTCCTTCGAGATTCTTCCCTTATCGACTCTCCTCGTCCGACCTCCCTTGAAGGCCAGTGAGAGTGTTTTTCGCTCCTGGTGTGCTGTAGGGCTACAGGGATTATTTTTTGCCCTCCCTTCTAGGCATTGGCCACTGGAATCGATGTGTCCTGCAGCTACAATGGTGGCTGCATGACGTTGTTTTGCATCATGAAATTGACGATCGATTGTAGGTTTGCCAATTTATTCGTCATCCTCTTTCATCTCTTCGTCCCTCCGTAGGCATCTTTCTTCCCATACCTAGAGATTATCCTCATTATAGTACTCGTTTTGGTCTAATTTCTTCGGTACGTCGCCTTTCTAGCCGACATCCTTTCCTTCATGATTCTCATCACGAGTCTCTTCGTTACAGTTGTCTCCTTCGATGTCAAGGTCAATAGGTCTTCGACTCCCCGTAGGAGTGTTGTCCCTTGCTTTCTCTTTTTGTCTGTCGTTGGCCATCTATTCTCCTTTCTTTTCCACAGACGGCGCCAAATTATGTGTGTCAATTTCTGACCACACTGCCAACTCAGTATTCAACTAGAGAGCACCGACAGAATAGATGGCGCCTGAGTGACCTGCAACAGAAAGAAGAGATTTCGGCGGTGGTTCGTCCACCCCGGGGCACTCTAATGATCAAGTCAGTTATCTCCCAAAGATAGATAAAGTTCTTAACTCACTATTCATAATATAAATTGCGTACCTTAGACCCATTAGGGGTGCCTCTCTTTTATAGCCAACTCAATCCTAGTCCCAATAGAAGCCTAACTTCAATAGACTTCTGCTTGCTTATCTTGGACTCTCCAATAGATAAAGATCAACTCCCTAAGAGCTTTATCCTTATCCAAGCTGAGGTCCTTCCTCATTCTAGGACTCTTGTCTCTTATCCACTTATCCTGGACTCCGATATCTTCGGAGATAACCTCAGCCTAGTCGAGACCATCTCGGCGTCACGACCAGGACACGTGGCACCCCGGCTGACACGTCGGCGTCCCCTTGGACACGTGTTGGTACTCAAAAAATATATCCCCACCGAAGGTATGAAGGGCTATGGTGGAGGGTGGCAGCCGATGTTTTACAAGAGAAGGGCTCAAGGTCAAAATCGCAGGGCTTTTGCTAGTAACCTCATTACAATCTTTGTGGATAACTTGCCCGCTAAGATGGATCCAAAAAAGTTGTTTAGGATGTATTCGAAGTTCAGAGTTGTTCGTCATGTGTTCATACCCTACAAGAATAGCAAGGTGGGAACAAAGTTTGGTTTTGTAAGGTATGATTGTGTAGTTGCAGTGGGGATTGTAGTCCAGAAGACAAACGGGGTGTGGTGCGATAACAAAGAGTTGAAGGTCAAGTTTGTAGACTATGATAATCACGAAGGTTGGAAAGTTGTTATCACCAGTAATGCAGTGTCATTGGGTGGCCACATCAAGACTCCAGTGGTCATTAGCAAGATCACTAGTTTTAGGGAAGGTAAATCCTTTGCGGATGTTGTGAAACAATGAGGTGATGAAGCCAGTAGATGCTTGAAGGTTTTGGCTTCAGATGAAGGTTGTGAGTGGTTAGACAGTACTATGATTGTCCGTTTGAAGTCCTTGGCTTTGGTGGGTAGTTTAGAAGCATTGGTGAAAAACTATAATCACAATATCTCTATTCGGTTTGGTGGCGGTAACATTGTGCTACTTTCCTTTGGGTCCAAGGTTGAACTCGATAAGGAATTCAATTCGGTTGCTGTGATTATCCAGGACTTGTGTGAGGAGATTAGATCTTGGGGGGAGGACTTTGTATTAGAATCCTCTCATCTTGTCTGGCTGCATTGTTTTGGTATTTCGTTTCATGTGTGGAATCCTAGCACTTTTCAAAGGATTGGCAATTTGTAGGGAGATATCATAAGATTTGACTCCTTGGATTCAAAATCTCTGGTTTGTGGGAGAATACTAGTGCATACCAGAGTTATGGAGACCATTAACTCTATGGTGTCTGTGGAATGTAATAACAAGAAGTTTGTTGTATCAGTGAAAGAGAGGCTGTCTAGTTTGGATTTTGCGGAGAAAATTGGGCAGAAATGGGGTCTCAGTTCCCTTGTCGATCATCGGTCGGAATCTTCAGTAGCCGGCGGTAGGAGTAGGAAGGAGAAGAGTCATAAAGAGATGGAGGGTACTGATGAGGTGGTACAGGTTCATTCCTCCCAGAAGGTAGTTGGAGCTATTGCGTCTGGCATGCATGGGCATTGGGACTCGGTGTCGGCTGTGAATGAATCAAGATCAGAGCATACTTTTTAACGGGAGGATTGTGATCGTAAGAGGGGAAGTTTTTTGAATAGTGTTAGGCTTGCTAGTGAATTGGGTTTTGTTAGGTCTTAGGTGGGTTTTATGAGGAGTATTAGTAGATCACTTGGGCCTCAACCTGGGCTGAATTTGGAAGTTGTGCTAGGTGAACCCTCTTTTGTTGGACCCAAACTTGGTAAAAGATGCACTATTACTAATATAGAGGAGATGGGCTAGAACATGGGGGTTAAGCCTTGTAATATTGGGGAGAATTTAGAGGCAGGGGTCACAGAGGGTGATCTAGCTAAATCGGTGGATGTGGGCATATCTGGAAGCATTCTTGGTGATGTGAACAAGGTTAATCCGCAGACCAAGTTAAAGCTCAGGGATGTCAGGAAGGGCTGTAAGAATCCGGTTCGGTTGAAAGTGATTAAGGGCGTCTTGAGACCTCCTGGGTAGAGGAACCGCAATCAGCAGACCAATAGTAAGAAGGGAGCCTCTCTTAAAGTTGCAATTACGGCGTTTTCGTTGGCTTCAACTTCAAAGTCGGGGCCTAGTAGTAGTAGAATCATTCTTAATGAAGCTCAAGCAACTGTGCAGTTGGGAAAAGCTTTGGGTATTGTCTTTGATGATCATGAAGATGTTGTGCTTAACAGAATTACCGACTTGGAAAGGCAAGATATGGCAAGAATTGAGCAAAGGAAGAACTAGCAGGTCAGGTAAGTTTTGCATGTTTTGGGAGTGTTAGAGTTTTCTATTAGTTATTATGCATCTTTTGTCCTGGAATATTCGAGGTTTGGGAAGGGAGGTTAAAAAGAGGAAAATTAGGAAAGCACTTAAAGATGAGAAGATAGATATTGTGTTTTTTCAAGAAACTAAGAGAGAAGTTATTAGTTCTGATATGGTGAGATCCATTTGGCCTTTTGGTAGTTTTGAGTTTTTGGAAGTTGGTGCAAATGGCTCCGCTGGTGGTCTTTTGTGTGTTTGGAATCCTGGAGTATTCAGGCTTCAGGATAATTGCTGTAACAGGAACTTTATTGTGTTAGCTGGCAAGATCAAATCTGATTTTGAAGGTGTGTTAGTCAATCTCTATGCTCTTAATGGTGTTGTCAAGAGAAGGGATTTATGGGATTGTTTGTCAGGATCAAACCATTGTTTCCTAAACCTTGGTGTATTGGGGGCGATTTTAATGAGAT